GTCAGAGAACCGTGCCCATGGTTGTTTAAGAGCCTGAGGAAATAAATTAACCCGAATCCGAAACATTCCCATGCGAATAACAGATGTCCCCTGGAGCCGTCTTCTGCTTTGGTTATGGCATAGACGCATGAACGATCACTGATCCATGCGTTCATTAGCTCCAACTCCACTTCACACCCATTGCAGATTCACATTGGGCCCTTTTTCTTTCTGCTGCACTTTCAAAATGCAACAACTGCAGTTTAGTTACCCAATTTAATACTAGTGACCTAGCTATTTAAATGCATGGTTTTACTGCGAGTGGCAGAACATGAATCTGAATTAATGCACATTGCTCCTCTTATATCCCTCAGACGATAGAGATTGATGCCATTTAATATGCATTGTCCCTCGGTTAGCTCAAACACGTGTGAAAACGGAGCCTGCAGACCAAGCACGGGGCGAAAAAACTGACGCCTGCAGTCAAGTGCGCGGGGCAAAAACCAATCGCCTGCAGCCCAAAACTCCGGGATTAATCTGTCCGCGGTCGGCACACTCGCTGTACTCACATGCCAGGAGACTTGGGAAAAGCAACGGGACAACGCGGCACCGCCGATCGAGGCAGGGACATGCACGGCACCGCCAGACCGTCTGCGTGCGGCAGCAGACCACGAGGAACGAGCCGCACAGAACCCGCGGAGGGCCCCGCGGAGCAGCCCGCAGAAAGAGCCCGCAGAGGAGGAGAGCAGTGGAGATATGCGAACCACAGCAGGTGCAGGGACGCGGAGGAGAAGCAGACCACAAGCAGCCAGACGGAGGACGCCAGGGTTGCGCCGAGTAGCGTGAGTAGACGAAAACAATTCCTCCAGACGATTCTCTGCAAGGCTTCGAGGGCTTGCGAGGCTTCGAGAAGGCCGAGAGTGGGAGTTTCTCCGCTTTTAAGCGGCTTGCCTGGCCGGTACGGTGATTGGAAGGGGGCGTTTGCAGTGCGATAGGCTGGGGATGAGAACCGGCCTGGAGGGGGTAGCTTTGGCTGACGTCTACCAAATTGAATTTCCGCTGGCTGCATTACTTCCGAACCAAGTGCAATTATAGCCCAGAGTTTATCTTATTTTATTCTTATCTTAATTTTATTGTCTATTATCTTAAATAATCGTCTTATTTGATGTGTGCGTCTGAGTCTTATTTCCTTTCTCTGCTGTAATGTGCAACGATGACACTGACATTTCTCCACTGTGAGACTGATAAAGGTTTATCTTATCTTAAGACACAACATTTGTGCACTTTCCAGCCGCAGCCGCCCCACTGTGGCACCTGGTGTTCCCCGAGGTCTCCCAGCACAGTGCTAACCAGGCCCTGCCCTGCTTAGCAAAAATATTGTATGTACTAAAGGGGGACCCAGCAGAAAAGGTTTGGGAATCACTGTATGAAAATTACAATGAATTTTATCTGACAATCATCCCCGCACCCCTAGGACCCCGCATCCCTAGGTCCCTGTACCCCTAGGTCCCTGCACCCCTAGGTCCCTGCACCCCTAGGACCCTGTACCCCTAGGACCCTGTACCCCTAGGTCCCTGCACCCCTAGGTCCCTGCACCCCTAGGTCCCTGCACCCCTAGGACCCTGTACCCCTAGGTCCCTGCACCCCTAGGACCCTGTACCCCTAGGTCCCTGCACCCCTAGGTCCCTGCACCCCTAGGTCCCTGCACCCCTAGGACCCTGTACCCCTAGGTCCCCGCATCCCTAGGTCCCTGCACCCCTAGGTCCCTGCACCCCTAGGTCCCTGCACCCCTAGGACCCTGTACCCCTAGGTCCCTGCACCCCTAGGACCCTGTACCCCTAGGTCCCTGTACCCCTAGGTCCCTGCACCCCTAGGACCCTGTACCCCTAGGACCCTGTACCCCTAGGTCCTTACACCCCTAGGTACCTGCACCCCTTGGACCCTGTACCCCTAGGTCCCTGCACCCCTAGGACCCTGTAGCCCTAGGACCCTGCACCCCTAGGACCCTGTACCTCTGCTTGGTGAACAATGAAAATAGTCACTTCTTCTTAAAGGGAAGGTTAAGATACAATTTATAGTCACCGCAGGGAAATGTTTCCTCTGATTAGCCTCATCCTTCCAGAGCCACTGAGGTGACCTGTCAGCTCCAAACCAAACAGAAGATTCCAAAGTTGGTCGTTTGTTACGTGTGTGATACAAATCATAATGTTTTGGCTTCTTTTCTCGAGATATTCTTGTGAGGACGGGGTTGGTTGGGTTCAGACTATTGTGAGGAACCATTACGGCTCAAATATGAACGGTTTTCAAATGGAAACATCATGATAAACAAAACTCTTGAAGGCACTTTTGAAGTCCATCCATTTTCTTTTGCTCCATTGAAAACATAAATTAGTGTCTACATTATCTAATAGTTTCAAAGGTATCGCATAACTTTGCCTCGTTACTCTGAGAAGAAGAAGAAAAAGAAGATCAGTTTGACAAATAAGGCATGAAGCAAACATTAGTCACAAATTTCATAACAAACCAAATGTATTATTAACTTGCTCACAAATATTGTAAATAAAAACTTGACTGGGTGTCCCAACTGGACTGTTCATAGCTTCAGGGCGTAGCTCTCTGGCATTTTTGTCTCGAGAACGTAGCTCTCTGGCATGTTTGTCTCGAGAACGTAGCTCTCTGGCATGTTTGTCTCGAGAACGTAGCTCTCTGGGGGAAACGGTTAGAGACCCCGTATCTAAACAGGGTAAGGTTGCTCAGGCCTCTACAAAAGGTTGAAATGCAGTTTGAAGTAAAAGTGCTTAAAACCAAGACAGATACGACGCCCCAATGAGAAAGATTCCAGTTCCAAGCTTCAAGTCTCTTCCGTGACTCAAAAAGTGATTCCCAAAAAGGTTGAGCATATTTGACATACACAGTATTCATGTCAACAGAAACATTTCCCATCATAAGGCAAACAATTATGAATTACAAGAGCTTGAAAATATGACCCACACACACAGCTGCAACGACAGACTGGCACCAACACATCTGCTCATCCCTCAGATCGGGGCTGAATGATAACAATATAAACATATGGTGGTATATTGGGAGAACATTCCGACGCAGTATTCAAATCAGAAATCTCAATATAAAACACTGATCAATGTGTGGCTGACAGTGTAAGGACAAGAAGGAGGAAGCATTTGGCGAACGGTCATGTTTACTGTGACAAGTGTGACGTTTATAATTGTGGTGTTGTTAGTGAAATGAGCCGTTCACAGAGTCTTTGACGGAAACTGACAAATGGCGGCTCGTGGGAATAGAAAGCACTCTCGCCGTGTTTAGTGTGACTGAGGAGGTTGCTCAAGGTTGAAGGATGGAAATAATTGTTGTTTTGTTACTACTGTATTACCCATCCATCCATTTTCTACCCTTTAATCCATTCCTGGGTCAGGGGGGTGGCAGTCAGAGATGCCACCCAAGTCTCATAGCACCAGCCCCTCACTGACCCTCTGCAGGTGGTGAGTCCACAGGAGGACGGCTGCTCTCTGAGTGTGAGCATAGCCTTGATCTTTCAGTGGGGGCTTTGGGCAAAGTGGGGTTAAGTGTCTTGCCCAAGGACACAACGACAGCAGTCATCAGTGGGAGTCGGTGGAGAAGGTGCGGAGGTGGGAATTGAACCCACGACCTTCAGGCCTGAAGGCCAATGCTCTACCAACTGAGCTACTGTCACCCTACTGTATAACTGTTTCTCTTATAACATATGATTGATGTATTTGTACAGTATCAATATGATGCACATGTTCTGTCAAACTCTTAAAAACTGTTAAATAAATTGAAAGAAACAAAGGAAATAAGTTGTACAAATTTAAAATCTGGCCAAAAGTGGCACTACAATCACGGTCAATATTCTGTAGTCCTCTCCCACTCTCCCTGACTGAGGTTGCCAGATATGCAGACGAATCCAGCTGGGACCATAACAGCTGAATAGACAAGAGTTTTGTCAACAACAAATCTATAACCAACCCCTTTTTCACAAAGATAGAAATCCTGGTTTTATTCCTTGTTTTGTCGTTAATGATTTGAGAATCATAACGAGACCTTTTTTAGTTCTGTGCCACATGGTACTTTACCAGTGAGATTAGCTCCACATGGTACTTTACCAGTGAGATTAGCTCCACGCGGTGAGTTCTGGCGCCCGGATCACAGACTTTCTGATTGGTGAAACGGTGGAGGGCGGGACATCGAAATGAAAACAATAACAAGATTTAGAGGCTGGAAAAGTAATTTAGAAATTCAGATATCCCTGAACTACTGTTATCAGTTAAAGAAGTATTGGAAAAGAGCAGGTTTTATTAATGCCTTTCGACAGATTAGGGCCCTTTAATGATGACAGATTAGGGCCCTTTAATGATGACAGATTAGGGCCCTTTAATGATGACAGATTAGGGCCCTTTAATGATGACTTGACATGAAAATCTTACATATTGCCACTTTAAATGGCCCATGCCCAGAGATGTTCCTATGTAAAGTTTTACAAAGCTACATTTAGTGATGTCAGTTAAGACACATTTGTGAGGAAGGTCAAAGAACAGAGATCGTCCCGCTCCCTCTGGACCAATGGCTTCTGTTTGTTTGTTATTGTGGATTTCCTGTGTTCTAACTGATTCTCTGATCGGATGTTGGTGAATCGAGCCTCTGAGACGCCTGCTGGTGGGATTTAGGGCTAATTTGTTGTTATGGCACACTTGCGCAAAAGACTCCAACTTATAAAATCAAGTCGTAAGTATTTTTCATATTTATTTTATATTTTCTTTGCCTCAAAAATGAATAAAGTAATCCGCAGTGAAGCCAGAATCAAATGTTTGAAGCTTGTGAAGTGCAGACTGATGAATCCAGAGGAAAACCAGCCGCTGTGACGTCTGTGCGTTGAGAATACTAGGCCATATTAACACAAAGCTTTGAATGACCTTCAAAGCCCGGTGCATCCAACATACATGGTCCCAACATCACACAACGCTGTACAAAGAAGGCTTTTGGTTTCAGCGCTCGCAGAGAACAGACCGCCTGCCGAGGAGACATGAAGAGACAGAGTAAACAAAGCAGAGCCCGAGGCAGAGCCCACCTGCAGAGGACTGTGGAACCCACCCCAGCTCAACCCACCCCAACCCACCCCAACCCAGCCCACCCCAACCCACCCCAAACCACCCCACCCCACCCCAACCCAGCAAAGAGAGAGGGTTATTATAGAGGTTAACTGAGAAGGGAGCTCCAGAGAGAGAGGGGGGTTCAAACATGCAGCGTAGAGTCAAATATAGAGAGCTTGGGATTGTAGACTCACATTACAAGTACGCAGACCATAGACTGTAAATATTTATGGACAATGCTAACTTTAATAAAGCCTCGTTGTGCTGATGCCAGAAGTTTTGCACCAACCTTCTCTGGCTCCTATTGATTGACATTAAAGGCACACCGTGTAACTCTTGGCCACTAGGGGCGCTAGACCTGCAACTTTCACGTTTAGCGCCCCTAGTGGCCACAAGCAACTCAGCACTGTCGCAAAAGTCAACAAACAGTCAGCCGGTGTCTTTTGAGTGTGTATTCAGACAGCATGCACTGGTGTGTGTGTTCAAACTGTAGAGACATGCCTACAGATATTGAGAGACTCTGCTGTGGTCAGCCTCCAGACCGCTGCATTAGTAATCTACCACACATGGACTTCTATATCCTGGATGAGGGAGTTCTGCGTCTAGCTCGTGCTGCGTGGAATGACATCTTTGCAGTCGATGACATCCAGGAACCAGGTGAAGAGCAGCGCTCATACAGACATGCAGCTTACAGCACGATCCCTTTCGCGTTTCCTCTTTTTAGCCTCCTCCGAAGGTTTAAAATTTTTCCTTGCCTCAGCCATGACCAGGAGTCGAGCAGGTGAAAAATGAGTAGCAAAAGCCTTAGCTCCATGAGTATATCAGCGCCTGTAGCCGTAAAGCAAGTCTTTCTTCCAAGTCACGTGACCTGGTGGCAGACGGTCCGTCTGCTCTAAACTTACATGGGCGGTATTTCAAGAGGGCAGCCCCGCTCGGAGCATTGCAAGTGTCAAGCGCTGTATATTGGCCCAAGTATTCATATAAAATAACTCATATGTGTCAACTCTTTAGGTCACAAAGTCCGCGGTGTGCCTTTAAATAATACACTTCTAGCTCTGTAATTGTTTGTCACACTCCTCGATTTTGGGCTTACAAATCCATGTTTTAACAATCTCTCAGACACTCGTGTTTATAAATTAAATCAATTTTGTAAATCCAGATATGAGCCACGAGGAAAGGATTCTTCATTCCCCGCGGTGAAGTGCAACTTGTCTTGTTAGCGACACGTTAGTTAGCATCTGTCCTGGCTACAGCTAGTAGGTCCACCTGTCATAACTTATGCCCATATAAGGAAATCGGCTCCGGATAGCAGATTTTTGAATCATTTGGCAAACACTTAGTCAGTCCGCTCCTTCTACAGTCCATGAGTAAAACCAGCATAGTTTTGACGTTTCTAAATTACAAAGCTGGGACCATATTCTTTTTCCGTATAAGTATGTAAATTTAGTTTTCTCGCGCTGCAGAAGTTAAAGGTAAAAAGGAGGATTTTCTGGGTGGATCATCAAGACTATTGGTCCTTCTAAATGACAATCATTCTGGTGATACGTCCTCCTCAAACAAGACCAGAGAGTTTTTTCAAATTTGGGAAAATCCTCTTTAACCAGGCATGTCAAACTCCGGCCTGTGGGCAAAATCCGGCCCGCGAGACCATTTTCAGTGGCCCCAGAAATGTTTTTTGATTATTATTATTACAGTAGCTTGAAGCATTGAGCGTTGTGAGATTCTATGGCATTTTAAATTTACTTAAATTTCATCTTCTGTAAAATTTGAACTAACATGTAATTAGTAGTTAAGTTAAGATCTTTTATACGTATATATATTTAACTATGAATCTTCAATTACAACTTTTTTGATATTTGGCCCCTGCTCTGATTGCATTGAAACCTACTAGAAAATAAATGTCAAAATGAAAAAAAAAATGAAAACAAAAATACAATAATAATGATAATAAATGTAAACCACTTATACTTTTGGCCCCAACCAGCTCTTATGTTTTTAAACTTGGCCCCAGACAAGAATGAGTTTGACACTTCTGTCCTCTCCCTTTGAGGATGAGGTGATAGCTGTGTTTAGGTGAGTGAAGCTCTCACCGCACACGCTTCTCCTTCCTTTAATTTATGAAGCTGCCTTTGCGGAAAAACATGTTTGAAATTGTCAATACTGCTCCATATGGATGAGAAACTTTCCGTAGTCTGGTCAAAGGTTGGCGACCTCTGTCTGAGCCTGTCCATTTCCCTTTGAACTTAAGACGTCTGTTTGAACACGCTCTGCAGAACAATGATTTAAAAACTTTGAAACTTTGAAACTCGGGTCAGGGGCTTTTGATATTTCTCTTTCTCACCCACGCACATTGAAAAACACTTCCTCTTTATTTTGTTCTCAATGCCACACTTCAAAAGACCCAAAACAATTAGCAGCACAAACTTGTTCCTTCCTTTTGACTCCTGAAATATTCATTAACAATGCAAATCAAAGTGCCAAACCAAAAACAAAACTTTTTTCTTGTCTGCATAATTGATTTCTCCCTGCTTTCAGAATCAATTGGTTTCACCGACGTTCTTTCAAGTTTTGTAGAGAAAACTTAAAAATATGACAATTGTAAGACGTGGAAAAAGGCTGGCTCAGGAGACCAATGTATTCAAGAGAAATCCCAACTGAGACATTAGCATTTGGTTTCATCCTGTGGTATTTTAAACTGAATCCATGAGGAATGGTCCGTGGAAGAATAAAGTATTAAGATGGCATCGACTGGATTTCAGTTGTGGATAAATACAGCCGCAGTTTTCATCGGGGACTGTTCCAATAAAGGGAGGAGACAGCTGTTCACTTTGAATATCATTATCTGCTATAGATTCTTCCTCTCGCAGTGGGACAGTTATCGGCCTCAATGATGAAGGAGATTGAATTGAATACTTTCATAAATGTAAGATGTGAGATCACAGGTGGATGGTTCTCTCTCTCTCTCTCTCTCTCTCTCTCTCTCTCTCTCTCTCTCTCTCTCTCTCTCTCTCTCTCTCTCTCTCTCTCTCTCTCATGATTGTGTTGGGAAACTTTGGGCTGTCCACACTTTGTTGAAAGACTCTTCCAACTAAGTATCTGGTCTGGTATTCCGTGCACATATTTTATCCTTTGCCTCTTCTTCTCTTTCCATCTTACATCTTCAAGGCCAACTGTTTATGAGCATTTTGGGTAAACTCAACGTAACTTCACTGGGGCACCATGACTTCAGAGTGCAACATTTTCCAAAGACATTTAGTGTGATCAATGCTAATCAATTCTCACTTTCTATTTGTAGTTCAATTGAAATGCTTTGGGGCCACTTTCTGAAGGAATATGCCTCAGTATGATAAAAAACACAGCCTTAAGATCCAATCGCGTCCTGAAAATTATCTGAATGACTTTCAATTTTCAAGTCTTGCGGAAACCGTGTCAAATTAAAGTATACATGTCACAGAAAATCCGCAAGATCCGGCTCCAGTTTCCAGCGCAAGGAGTCCGGGTTTGTTCAGGCATCGGAGCAAGACTCATTACTATCACAAGCTTAACAGGAAGTCAGGTCTTTCACGAAGCGAATGACAAGGGTGAAAACAAAAGAAAAAAAAAGGTCTGCCAGCTCACAGTGTCACCAATCTCACACGAGAAGCCAAAAGACAGAGAAACACCATTAAACATTTCTGTGGAGTGGCTGTACCAGCAAACACCAATTCCTGAGTTCCGTTGATGCCGTGTCTGTCAGAAAAACTGTGAGTTCTAGTTTGTGCCAAATTGGGACCAGATCAGTGCCGTAGCAGTGGGAGCGGGGGGTTACTTAAAGGTGTCTAGGGACATTTTTTTTTCTAGAAGTCCCACCTGTCGTTTTCCTCAGGGCCACTCTAGTTTTACTTCAACCCTTTCCTGTCTTCTGCTCAGTCTTATGCCGGTCCTCTGCTGTCTTTCACATCTTCTCAGCAACTCACAGACATTTCTCACTTCATCAGTTCTTCTACTTTTGCCAAAATCTTAAGTGTTCGCAGCTACTCGGCTCGATAAACAAACTCCACAGCACTAGCAAGGGAACGCTGATTGATGCTTCGCTCAATGATTGACAAAGAAATAATTATGTAAACTAGTTATTTCCCTCCACATTACCATTTTAAATGTCTAAAACATCTTTCTAAATACCTTTAACAAAGTCAATCCAGGTTGAAAAGAGCTCTGTTTAGGTGTGCAGACAACTGAAGGATTGTATTTTCACTTCTTTTAATGTACGGTTTAAGATTTAAATGAATGGTATGATTTTCTCGACAGTTGCCTTGTGAATGAAGTCAAGGCAAGTTTATTTGGATAGGACAATTCAAAATGCTGAACAAAACAAGATGCTATACTAATATATTGGCTTTGCCTATCGCCAACGTCAATTGAAAAAAAAATAATTCCATACTAAGGGACATTCCACTTACGAAGCAGCAAATTTCACCCTAAAAACAAGCTAAAAGATAGTTTCATTTGACCAGACAACTCTTGCATGATAAAAACTCTTTCCTTACCCAGTTAAACAATATCACTGTGTGTCAAAATGGACTTTTTTGTGTAACCTGAAACACACTCTAGCTTCTGTGTGAATATTCCTTGTGTGTGTGTAGAGAAAGTCCGTGTTAGCAGCTGTGGATGAGCAGTGTCAGCCTGGAGATTATTCTGTGAAACATGAGTCTAGGGGCCAAACGTCAGGCGCTAAAGACCTGCTTAAATGTGGATGGAGCCGAAGAGCTGCTCTGGGAGTGGCTCTAACAACAACAACACCGCACACACATGAATGATTGAAATGAGGAGGATTCTGCCAGACAAGGTTCCAATAACTTCTTTTACAGTCAGTGTGGGTTACTTTTGTGCCAAAGGGTTGTTATTGAATTGGTTTTACAAGATGCTAAATGGATTTCTCTGCTCTGTCTAGGGACACGTTCTCGTTAGTTGGTCTCGGTCCTCGTTCAACAGTCTGAGTCCTGGATCTACAGCCTCAGTCCTCGTTCTACAGTCTGAGTCCTGGGTCTACAGCCTCAGTCCTCGTTCTACAGTCTGAGTCCTGGGTCTACAGCCTCGGTCCTCGTTCTACAGTCTGAGTCCTGGATCTACAGCCTCAGTCCTCGTTCTACAGTCTGAGTCCTGGATCTACA